ACTAGCGGTCTATCCACTAGTGGTTTTTAAGACAATGAAGATATTTTTTATCTATTACTGACTTACTCTGGAGAGGTTGGTAAGTCTGTCTCATCTTCTTCAACCCTGAAGGTAAGAGAACCTGTGTATCTGAACAAAGATAATCACACATTTTAGGTTGCAGTAGTGGCGCATATTTTTTTAAGTCTGCAGTATTTTATCAAGCCTGTTAGGGTGAGACAAAATAAGAAGACGATAAAATAAAAAGACAAGAAAAGATGTCTACTCATAGACTGTTGCAACGAGTCTTACATTCAATCACTCACTCATTCATTTGTTCATTTATTCGTTCGTTCATTTCAGTGGCGGATCCAGGATTTTTCAAAGGGGGGTTCCGTTTCTTAAACTGTGTATAATTCTCTTTTGTTTAGTCGATGTTTGACAAAAAAATTGGCTCTAATCACCTAATTTACTATCTAGTAACGGAACTTAAAAGTAAATTATAAACATTATAACAGCAAATATCTATCATTTCGTGTTCAACATTAACTTTGTGGATACTTTAAAGCAAAATTTATATAAGACATATTTCTATTACCTAAAAGATCAAACCTTCAAGGGGGGTTCCGTGGACCCCTTCGACCCCCCCCTGGATCCGCCACTGCATTTATTCATTTGTTAATTCGTCCATTTATCTATTCATTCATAAAGCAGTCAGTGCAATGTCTTACTTTGCAAGCCGTGTATCTGGGAAGAGTTCCAAGACATTGTTTAGTAATATGAAGAGTATGCCATGGTTGATTCCCATGGTAGGACTCAACACGATGCTGACATTCTGGATGCTCATCTTGTTTTCAGAACCCTGAACACAACAATGACATCAAAATGAATGCGCAAATCTTGAACTATCAACAGCCTATCCCTGTCTGGAGGCATAACACTAATGTACAAACAAATCACTCATGAATGTAAGCTGCACGGCTGCTACTAGTGCCTTAATATGCAGCCCGTAAAGTCCTCCACTGGTCATGATTGTGAAGCGCATTGAGGCGTTGTATGTAATGCACTATACAAGAATCTCTTATTATTAKTAGTAGTAGTAGTAGTAGTAGTACATCTTGGTGAGGACCATTCCTGTCAGGACAACTCTAACTTTGTTAGTTATTGAAGTCCCAAGTAGAGTGAAAATAGGAGCCAATCAGGAAAGAGCAGAATCAGTATCATTTGAACCTCAACCACTTCCAAGGTTTAATTCCCAGGAGGATGGATGGTATGGTTTGTACCTCTAGCTATATATTAAGTGCCACCCTCGTAAAAAAGGATGGTTTTTTTTATGGTGTTAGTGGCTCTCTCTCACCTCTGGGGTCTTGAGTATGATTGCCATAATCAGCATTATATAATTTTCGTCCCTCCTCAAAACATAACATGCTAAATTACAATTCAATCTGTGAGTTAGCCATGCCCTGACTTAGATCAGCCCAGAGGTTGTTTCAGGGTTTGATCTGTGAGTTAGCCATGCCCTGACTTAGATCAGCC